TTGTTGTTTTTTTTTTTTTTTGACTCTGTTGGTCTTCTTTTGGAGCTCCTGTTCCCTCCAGGTCTTTCTATCTTCCCCTTCTTTCATAAGACTCCCTGCACTCTGCCCAAAGTTTGGATGAGTCTCAGCTTCTGCTTTGATACCTCGATCAGGTTTGCCTTGTTCTTAACTACCCAACTTTATGATCTCTCTCTCTGCCTGTCTGACTATCTCTTTCTGTATGTGTGTGTGTGTATCCTTTGCTTTGTCTCTCTGTGTCTGTCTCCTGCCTCTATTTCTCTATGTGTGTCTCTCTCTTTCTCTGCTCTCTGCACCTCATGTCTGAGGCATCCTTGAGGAACAGGTGCCACAATGGAATTGTCTGAAGCTATGTGCCAGGTGTTAAACTAATTTCCCATGGCATTGCTGTAGCACTGAAACTGATATATGCAAAAATCCAATTACTTGTTATGTACTAGGTCCTTGATGGTTTTTGAAATAAGAATTGAAAATTAACTCTATTCCTGGAAAGTAATTGAAAATGTATTTGATTTTAAGATCTAAAGACTATGAATAACTAAATAAGGTAGAAAAACAACTGTTTTTGTTATTGCTGTCATAGCAAAATTGGAATTTGAGTTGTGATGGTTTGAAAGGAGGCATTTAAAAAATTAAAAATTTTAATTGGCACTTAGTTTTAAAACTGAAAGTATGATTACATGTGTTCAAGGGACACAATTTGACATTGCATTATATGTATGCAATGTGTAATGATCAAATCAGGGTATGATTTGTCCATCTCCTAGAGATGCATCATTTCTTTGGGTGGAGAATATTTAAAACTAGAGCTATTGGATATTTTTTAATTTTAATTTTTAATATTAATTATAGATTATTCACTTTGTATACCAGCTGTAGCTCCATCCCTTACTCTGTCCCATTCCCACCCTCCCTCCCTCTTCTCCTTCCCTATCAGGTCTCATCAGCACTGGCTACATTGTTTTCCTCTGTGGCCTGGTAAGGCTGCTCCCCTGTCAGGGGGAGGTGATCAAAGAGCCAGCCACTGAATTCATGCCAAAGACAGTCCCTGTTCTTGAACCCACTTGGATACTGAGCTGCCATGGGCTACATCTGAGCAGGGGTTCTAGTTTATCTCCATGCATGGTCCTTGGTTGGAGTGTCGGTCTCATAAAAAGACCCCTGGGCCCAGATTTCTTGGTTCTCTTGCTCTCCTTGTGGAGGTCCTGTCCCCTCCAGTTCTTTCTGTCTTTTTTTTTTCATAAGATCCCCTGCACCAAATTTTCTTCCCTATAGTTGCCCTAGTGTTCTGTAGAACAGTAGCAAATACTGTGCATTGCTGACTGCAGTATATGTACACTAACCAGTTTCTCTCCAGTCCCTCTTCCTCTGTACCTTTCAGCCTTTGCTAACTGCCATTCCACTCCCTATTTTTCTTCTTCCTCTTCTTTTTTCTTTTCTTCTTTTTCTTCCTTCTTTCTTTTTTCTTTTTTCTTCTCTTCCTCTTCCCCCTTCTTATTGTTGTTCTTCCTCCTCCTCTTCTACCTCCATACAGTTCTATACAGTTTCATACAGATTTTAAGAGTATTTTCTCTTGTTCCTGTGAAGGATGTCATTGGTATGTTGATGGATGCTATACCAAATCTGTAGATTATGTAGAGTAGTATAGCTAAGTCAACAATATTAATTTTTCCAGTCCAGGAGCATGAGGCATCATTCCAAGCTCTCATTATCTGTCTATTTTTCTGTCTGTCTGTCTCTGTCTCTTTGTGTATGTGTTTTAATTTCTTTCATCAGGATTTTATAGATTTTATTGTGGTTTTTCAAGCTCTATGGTTAATTAAGTTCTAAGTACCTTTAAGGTGTTGCAAATGAGATCATCTTCTTGATTTCTTTTTCTATTAGTTCAATGTTGTATAGGAATGTAAGACAGATATGTTGGTAGTCTTTAATTTCAGCATTCAGGAGGCAGGAGCTAGTATATCTCTTTAAGCTCAAGGAGTTCAAGGCCAGTCTGGTCTACATAATGAGTTCCAGGCCAGCCTGGCCTACAACAGTGAGCCCATACCTCAAAAAAAAGACTTATTTTTATTTTATGTGTGTGTATTTTGCATGCATGTATGTCTGTGTACCACATGCATGTCTGGGTTAGTGGAAGCCAGAAAGGGCACCAGATCACCTGTTACTGGAGTTCCAGATGGTTGTGAGCTGCCATGTGGGTACTGAGGGCCAAGCCCCTAGTCTTCTACAGGAGCAGCAAGTATTCTAAATTGCTGAGCAATCTCTTTAGCCTCCAGTACTAGCTTTTGTATATTGACTTTGTATTTTGTAACTTGCCTATCAACATATTTTTGGTAGTCTTTAGGCTTTTCTGTATATAAGATAATGTTATCTACCAATGAGTGATTTGACTTCCTCTTTTCCCACTGGATGTTTATCTCTTTCTCTTGCTTCATTGCTTCATTGCTCTGAGATTTTCAGAGGCCATTTAAAAACTGATGGACAGAGCTGGAGAAATGGCTTCAGGTAAGAAGAGTGGCTGCTCTTCCAGAGGACCCAGGTTTGATTCTCAGACTTACATGATGGCTCACAACTATTTGTAAATCCAATTGCAGGGGATATAACACTATATTTTGGGATCCATGGGTACTGCAAACACATGGTACAATAGACTACATGCAGGCAAAACACCCATACACATAAAGTAATGAAATAAAATTTAAAATATTTATTGATAATCAGGTCTTCTTGAGAAAATCTTCTTGAGCTTGTTCTTTATAGTCATTCATCTTTTTTTGAAATCATTCTTGATTATAGATCATTTTAATGATTTCTGAATATCAAATCCAAGGACTGGAATGTAGTTCAATGGTAAAGTACTAGTCTAGCATGTGCAATGGCTTGGGTTTATTTCCCCCAGCAAGATCTGTACTAAAAGAAGTTAGTAATTAATCTCCACTCAGCTATTTAGAAGAAATAATGGAGTCTAGAATAGTGAGACTTTTAAATTAATCTATGAGAGGCACTATTTAATTTTTTTTCTCCATCAGAATAATCTGGGGGAGATGTCTGTTAGGATCTATTGTCCATTTTTCTGTTATTGGGATCAAATTTAAGGTCATACACATGGTAGGAAAATGCTCTGTCTCTTAGCTACGTCTCCAAACCTGTTTGGTTGGCCCATTTGAAATTGTTTTAAATTGTAAATGTGTGCATGTGTGGCGATGTATATACAGGAGTCCAGCTGCCTGGAGAGGCCAGAGGGGGTGCAATAGCTCCTTCAGTTGGAGATATAGGGCATTTTGAGCCAACTGAACTAGGTGCTGGGAACCAAACTTGGGTCCTCTGCAAGAGCAATGCATGTTCTTGATATCTGAACCATCTCTCTAGCCTAGTTTGGACCATATTTAAATTAGATATTTGTATGTCTATTGTTCCAGCACTGGTCATTGAAAAGATTATCTTGACTAATTTCTTCATATACTCATAGATTACATGTGAAATCTATTTCTGAGTTTTCTCTCTTATTCCATAAATCTATTTGTTTTTTATCTTTGATGTGTATGATTTTATCTTAATGACTATGGTGTTACATAACTTTTGAAGTCAGAGAGTGTTACTCTAACACTGTCCTCCCTCTCTTTCAATACTGAGTTGGTTATTTTTGGGTCTTTTTAAATATAATGTTGACCTTGATTTTTTAACAAACGTACTTTATTTAGAATTATTAAACACATCTATCTCCTTTCAATCCCCCAACACTGAGTAGAAGGGAAAGAAAGTTAGTGGGGACAAGGGGCAAAGTTCTCTCTACTATTTTCTGCTGGGTAGGGTCATAGGTTTGGGGGGGGGGGGGGGGGCAATACTAATATCAGTCGTCCAGAAGTCCAGATGGCTGGGTAACTGGCAAATCAGCAGACAGCAAATGCAGCAGCAGGACGAACCAGGAGCAAGCAGTCGTCCTCCAAGCAGCTGCATCATCTTTCTGTGGGCTATCATATTTATACCCTTCAAAGTCCTCAGTATTCAACTAAATCCAGCTGGCAAAGACCATGCTCCGCAAGAGACACTTAACAGGTGTGGACAAAATAAAACCTTCAACTTGGAGTTGAAAAAAAAAAAAAAGATATGTTTACATATCATAAATCAAAATGTCCCCAAACAATATAAACTTTGGCATTTTTATTTTTGAGACAGGGTCTCATTATATAGCCCTAGTTGGCCTAGAACCATCTGTGTAAACCAGGCTGGCTTGAACTTACAGAGTTCTGCCTGCTTCTGCCTCTAGAATGCTGGGATTAAAGGCATGCACCACCATGTGCTGGCCTCAGAATTTATATTTGATCCAGAAAACAACTTGTTGAGATTTCTGTTGGAATTATGTTTAATATGCCTAACTAGTTGGAAAGAACTGAAATACTGAGCTTTCTTATTGATTTACTGCACATAGTTAGTTCTTTGATATTTTACATCAGAGTTTTGTAGTTTCCTTTATGTAGATCTTATGCATATTTTTGTCAGATTTCTACCTAAGCATTTCATAGATTTGGTGCTAATGTAAATGCATCATGGGTTTTGTTGTTGTTATTGGGGGAAGGGGAAAGCTAAGACAGGGTCCATTGTGTAGTTCAGGATGACCTGGAATTATTTAGCTCAAGATGGATGCAAAGTCATAGCAATCCTTGTGCCTCTGTTTCCTGAGTGCTGGAATTCCAGGCATGAACCCCCATACTTGAATGGGCATTGTGTTTTAAATCTCTAATTCAGTGTGTTTGTTGCTGGCATACAGGCATTCCATTGGCTGTCTTGGTTAACCTTATATACTATAACCCTACTATAATTGCTTACTAGTTTCAAGAGCTATAAGATAGCATTTTAATTCTACTCATAGTTTATTTTCCTTCTATCAGTTGGATCTAAGTCTAGCAATGGTAACACCATTTCACAGTCCAAATCTGTGTTTTGCTCCATCCATATTAAATTTTTCTCTTTTGTCCTCTAAGGTGGTGTGAGGACACCATGACAGTCACAGTGGTTTATGATAACTCTGAGGCCACAGAGCTCTGTGCTGCCCAGCACCTCTACCTCAAGCCTATAGCAAAGTTAATGATCAACGTATTGCTCCCAGAATGTATAGAACCTGTGAGGCCCTTCTTTAACTGGGAAGTTCTTGACCAACTGAAAAGTCTGATTTGCCCTGACCAGTTCACCACAGTGCGACTCTCCAAGAGTACAAAAGACTTCATCCGATTTGAAGGTGAGGCTGAAACTCGAAGTTTGATTCAGATCCTGAAAGCAAAGTTACATGGGAAGATCATCAAGCTAAATGGTTTGAAAACTGACTTAAAAGTAGTAGCTACAGATGCCCAGGGAGAGTGGGAACACTTCCCCAAGGCAAAAGAGGCCTCAGTGATTGAGGGAGCTGAAGAACAAAACCATGATAAGAGCCCAGATTCCATCTATTTTGAAGGCTTGCCCTGTAAGTGGTTTGCACCTAAAGGTTCCAGTGGAGAGAAGCCCTGTGAAGAGATCCTTCGAGTAGTCTTTGAGAGTTTTGGGAAAATCAAGAATGTGGATATTCCCATGCTTGACCCCTACAGAGAGGTGATGACAGGTGGGAGCTTTGGGGGTTTTAACTTCGGCTTGCAAACATTTGAAGCCTTTATACAATACCAGGAGTCAACTGACTTTATAAAAGCCATGGAATCTCTTCGAGGAATGAAGCTGATGCTTAAAGGAGATGATGGCAAAGCTCTGGCATGTAACATTAAGGTAAGAAGGATCAAGACTTCAGTTTTCACTGTTCCAGTAATCCTGAGCCAGAGTTGGAGAGAAGCATCTAAATTAAATGTTTTTAGATTCTACTAGGCTCTGCCCAACCAGTGATGCAGAGATGCATGTTATCATTTATACATGTATGTTTAGGAAGAAAACCAGTCTTAATGGGAACACCTAAACTTCTGAAATCAGGTAGCCCACCCTCTGTGATTTAAAAGTGGTGGTTCTTACCATCTGGGTCTCTGCTCAAGCTTTGTGAGGGCACTAAAGGATTATTCATGCCTCCTATGGAACTATTTCATATGTTTATTGTACGCTTGGCAAGTGGCTGTGAGAGGGAGTCATGAAGTCTGAAACCAGAAGGAGAGCAGTTCCCTTGAATCAGAATCCTAAAGGCCTGTTTGCTTTGCTTTCAAAACCAGCCTGTCTATCTAGGCATGTCACTTCATTGATGTCTGGAATTGCTTTGGTCATCTTCATGTTTTTTTTGCACTCATCAAGATTTATTTCAAGGCCTGGAAACATTTAGACTTCTGAAAACTGTAATTTTTAATAATATATAAGCACAATATAAAAACTTTGAAAATGTACATAATTAGCTAATATCTAAATAATATACTTTTTAAAAAAGCAATGGCTGCTTAATAAAATATAAGGCTCCAATAAAATATCAAATCACTGAAGCTGGAGACACATCTTCTCAGCAGTTAAGAGCACTGACTGCTCTTGTAGAGGACCAAGGACTCAGGTTTGATTCCCTGCACCCACATGATGGTTCACAAGCATCTGAAATACAGTTCCAGGGGATCTGAAACTCTCCTGGCCTCTGTGGTTACTAGGCATGCAGGTGGTACACAAACATACATGCAAGCAAAATACACCTAAAATAAAATAACAAAAGTGCCACATGGTAAATGATAACATAGTAACAAACAAAACGGCTTTATCCATTCTGAGTATGGTTTCTAATTTTGTCACACAAAGCCACTAATAGTTGAGCTTTCTTTTAGATATGAGATTTGTAACTTAAATACTATGTTTGCAGGTAGGTATGGCAGTATGTCTCTTTTATCTCAGCACTTATGATATGAAAGCAGAAAGTATCAGGATTCACAGACAGCTTGAACTCTATGAGACTCAAGTCTCCAAGAAAATAGTAACTGGTACTGTGGATTTAACTGAGCTGGTGGAGTGCTTGCCTGGTATCAAACCCCTAGGTTCCATGGAGAAATTTGGGTGGATTGTTATACTTTTTGGTATATGGACTTAGATGATGCAGCTTGTTGCTTTTTCACCTCTTTTATATTTAAAATACATAGATACAAAACAAACATGTACATATATACATAGTCAAAGTTTACTTTATATGTATGTGTGTGTAGAGAGAGTATATAAATCGATACAAATTTCTCCATGACTTCATTCCTGGTCTCTGACAGTTTTAATATTCTTCTACAGACTTTATAAGTGCTTATTTCCACAGTAATTATAATTAATTTCTGCATCTCAGAAGTAATTTATAATAAGGTATCTTTAAAATGATATTCTGTATACTTCACTCTCTACCATCCCCTTGTGCCTTTTCACCAGAAAATCTGTGGCTGAAATGAAAAAGAGTATAGGAAACCACCTGATGGGGCCCAGAGCAATTTGAATCAAAGTGCCTAAATACTCCAAGATTTTAACTTTCTGTCTATAAAAACCAAAGGACCCAATTGACTAAAAGTTATAGTTAGTACAGGAAAAACACAAGGTTTTTAACTAAAACTATATCTCAAGACACAAAAAAATTCTAGTCTAGCATTAAATTATGTTGGGCATGTACAGCCTAAATAGCTTAGGGTTGCTCTGAAACATAAGCATATCTAAGAAATAACCTTCTAATTCTTTCCCAGTTTAAGTAGTTATTAATAATTTTAGGGGAGAAATAAATAATTTGTGTTAAGAAACTAGTACATACAAATGGATGGCTATTTTATTTTTGCATACATATATACATACAAGCAAAATACCCATACAAATAAAATAACAAAAATATAATGCATTATGTTAAATACAATTTAAAAAAACATACATTTATGTAACTTTAATTTTTATCTATTTTGTTTTGTAATGGGCTAGTCTGAAGCTAACTCTGTTGTAGCTCAGGTCTGGCCTCAAGCTTTTGATTCTCCTGCCTCAGTCTCCTAAATGCTAGGTTTTCAGCCATGTGTCACCACACCTTGGCCTGAGTACTCATTTAAATCCTGAAGAACCCAGAGAGTGAAATACAGGCACACACTTGGTCACGATTCATATTGTGATGGAATAAAACAGTATGGATGCAATCTCTTACATGTGCAATTGCAAGCCATTCATAATGGGAAAAAAAATGACAGTCCTTTCAAAGCTGGAATAAAAGCAAAGACAAGAACAATATGGAAGGAAAAGAATATCTACTGTTTTGAAAAGGAGAAAAATGTGTTATAAAGGACAAAAACAAGATCTGTGGAATAGAAAAAACACCGTCTTAAACAAACAAAAAAACCCTGATAAGCATAGGGAATCTAGGTCACTTGGAATTGAGGAGGCACCACACAGATACAGAGACAGTACAATGAACTGTCCTTATCCTCTGAGCCGTCTCTCCAGCCCACGACGAACTGTCCTTACATGGGAAATCAGTAAAACAAAATTCATAAAAGTCCTCATACCTGCAATTTTATAATAATGTACAATATAACAAAAAATTACAGTTTTGTTTTTTTTTTCTCCTTAGGCTTAGAATGAAATATCAAACTTCTGTTAGTACATTTACTTTTCAAGCTCTCTCTGTTCAGTCACATATGCTAAATAGCTACATACATGCTGGTATAAGAATCTTGGTTCTTGTCTCAAATCACTGATGTGGTTTTTGTATATACCATCTTATTTCCATTATAATGTGTTTACTATATTTCCAGTGATTCATTTTAACCAACTTACTGCATTAAAAACCTCTTAATTTTAAATGAATATTTTAGTACTATAGTAGGATGCATCCAACTTAGCAACTGAAGCATAGCAGAGTAGCTACAACATATTGTTTAATTCACAGCTATAGAAAAATATTTGCCTTTTAAAGTACAATCAAGAATGAGATTACATAGATTTATGAACAGCGAACTACTAATAAACAGTGGGTGAAGAAATAAGGTCATTTTTTTTATCCATGGCCATTCATAATTTTGTCTTTAGAAACCTGGAAGAAATGTTCATCTTTGAGTTGTAAATAGTCTGGTAAATCTAGTCATTTAGTTGTTTTTTCAATCTCATGAGATAAGGAAATAAATGGTGCTAAAGAATCCAAGTTCTTTTCTGGGCCAAGGTAGGCAACACTGGCCACAATGAGGATTTCCTCATAAAAGTCCTCTTTGAAGGTATGTACGATATGTATGTCTATGGACCTTTTTCATATTCTTGTGTTATGGATTCCAGCCTTGTGTTCATCACCATCTTACAGGCTTTCCCACTCGCAATACTAGAGAAACTATAATAAGTGCCAGTGGCCCACAGAAACTAGAAATTTGTTCTGGAAAAAGTAGCTGTGGTGATACCCACCTGCTTGGAGCTACAGCTGAAGCTTATTTCCAAGCTACGGCATCACTTGGTGTAGGTAGAAATATAGCAGCCTTTAGTCATTCAGCAGGTTTCCAGTAGGTTTATTGTAAACCATCATCTGGGAACAAGGGCTATGGCCTGATCCATATATCCTGTGGAACCACTAAGCTCAGTCCCCTGGATCAGCTGTGGTACTCAAGCAAGAACTCTGCATTTCCGGGTTGGTTGTACACTTGCCTGGCAGCACAGGCATCAGCATATGCTGAACTGAGTAGGTATCACTAGGAAACACATCAATTATCACACTGAAAGCCTAACCTATCAATGGAAAAGACACAGCTAAATCATTCTTCTCTAAACCATTCTTTGGCATGATTTTGCATTTTCAGTTTCATGAATGTGTGTATGTGTGTGTGTAGCTACTTGTGTTAAAATGCACCATATGATTTCATGCATATTTACTCATTTACTTCTTATAGCACTGGAGTTGCAACCCAGGTTTTGCTAATGCCAAACAAGTATTCTACCAGTGAGCCACATCTCCAAGCCTCTTGTGTATATTTCAATACCTAATTTTCAATCTCTTTATTTATTTTTATTTTCTGTTGTGTTGGGGATCAAACTGGAGATCCTCCCATATATTGATGAGCTAACCCAGTATCTGCCTCTTTTTCAGTCTATGAGCATATATCTCTATCCCCCTTATTCATATTTCAAGATATGAAATCTGATATCTCTTTAGGCTAGTTTCCTTGTCTCTTTTCTGCCCACCCCATTCCTATCCGTACTTATTATTTTTATCTCTGCTGACTATAAAAAAAAAAAAAAAAAAAAAACCAAACACCCAACTACAACACAATGATTTGGTTGACTTTTCTGGCTTACTAGAAGTAATATCTTTCTTCTCTCTGGTCTGGGATCCATCCAGCCCATTGACAAATCTTTCTAAGAAACCTTTAATTTGTTTGGGAGCAGGTTATGTTTGATACAACCAAACATTTCAGTGAAGGAGCTATACAGAAGAGGAACCAGGAAAGGCTGAAATTACAAGAGCTGGAGGAAGAGAGGAAAAAAGAAAAAAAGAGAGAAGAGGAAGTTGCTGAAAGGTAAGTAAAGTGTTAACAATGAAGAGGTTTCTGCTTTTGATTTTTGGACTAATTCATTTGGCTGAATAGCTAGTTTCAATAGACAATATGGAAGTAGGGGCAGGCTTTGGCACAGATGCATGGAAAGGTCTACCAAAGACAGTCTTACAAAGTGCAGATGACAAAATAGATGAAAGCAAGAAATCAGAAAGGCATGTCTGGAAACAAGAACACATAATAGGTGATAATGGGGCTAGCGAGATTAAAGAAGTCTGGGGGAAAGAGATTTTAAAAGAGAATGAGAAACTTTTGTTATTGCAGTGCTTTGGTTTGAACCCAGGGCCATGTACTTGCTAGGCAAGCATTCCACCTGTGGGCTACAGTCAGGAACTGAAGCTTCTGGTGATCATCCTGACCTAAGTTAGAAATTTTATTAGTTTGCCAATATTTTCTAGCCTACCAATTTAAAATAAAAAAAGTAGTCTGGAAAAGCTTTTCTTCTCTAAAATGAAGACTCAAAGTAACAGTTGTGGATTTGTGGAACCATTTTTCTTGTTGGGAAGAATTCTTACTGTGAATTTGAGGTGCTTCCATTTTCTTTGTTTAGTCTAATCATTCTTGAAGCCTGATCCTGGCTAGATTATTTGTGTACCTAGACCAATGCCAAACATTTGCCAAGAAAGGACAGATAAAAGCTTTATAGGACTCTGATAACCCAGTTTGTACCTCCTGCCTCTCCTTTTATGTAAACCATACGATTAAAAAAAATTAAGGATACCTTTCGATGTATCCTTCACATTTTTGGCTAGTTACATCTAGGAAACTTGGCTAGAGCTTCAGGGTACTGTTCTTTCTCAAATCCTAGGCTGAACGTCCCATTGAGATAGTCCTTTGTCCTCTGGCTAAATCCTGATCCAGGTCATAGCCATTTATTTCTTCCCACATTTTTATGAGGATCTAACTGAATTTATAGGGTTCCTTTAGCTCCTACAGCCTTTCTACCATTTGTTGTTTTCTTTAGAATAGCTATTCTGATAGAGGGGAAATGGAATCTTGTGGAGTCTTGTGGAGTCTTAAGATATATTTAAAAAATTTTATGTTTGCATTTTGATTACATGCATGTATATGTAATATGTGAATGCCTAGTATCTGTGGAGGCCAAAAAGAATGTCCAGTGCCCTTGAGCTGGAGTTATAGGCAGTTGTGAGCTGCCATGTGGATACTGGGAACTGAACCTGGGTCCTTTGCAAGAACAGCCAGTGCTCTTAACTGCTGAGCCATCTCTTTATCCTACTTCTAGTGTAGTTTTAATTTGCATAATGATGGCTATTTGACAGTGTTTCATATACTTATTTTCCATTTGTACTTCTTTTGAAAACTGTCTATTAATTCATTTGTCCACTTACTAATTGGATAACTTGATTTTTTTTTCCAAGACAGGATTTCTCTGTGTAACAAGAGCCCTGGCTGTCCTGGACTCATTTGGTAGACCAGCCTGGCCTGGAACCCACAGAGACCTACCTGCCTCTGCCTCCCAAGTGCTGGGATTAAAGGTGTGTGCCACCCAATGACAAACAAGTTCAGTGTTCTGAAGAAAACATTGAGCCTGTGACTTACGGAATAAGTGAAGGTCCTTGAGCCGAGATCTGAAGGAAAAACTATAGTGGAATAGATATGAGGGGAGTGGAAAGGGACAGTGCTGAGCATACAGGGCAGTCATTACAGTCAGCTTGAGGAAGGCTTCCATGGCTAGAATAGAGACAGTGAAAAGGAGGGGTGAGATGGAGCTAAAGGGAAGGCCAAGAACAGACTCTACATGGGGACTGGAAACTCTTGCTTGTCATCTTTTTAGCATTGTTATTATTAGATATTGTTCATGGTCTTCTGATCTCTGCTGTGATCAGTTAGCTGTATACCCTAATGTAGTTAGGCCAACCAGGTCTCTGAAGTGGCTGACAAGGTCAGTGGTAAATTTAGTCATTGCTCTCTTAAAATGAGTACAGCTTTTCTGGCTGCTTTCAAGACTTTTTCTTAAATATATCTGATTATAATATGTCTATGTATGATAATTTAAAAATTAATCTTATTTGGTGATCTATAGATTTTTTAATTTAACTGTATGATTTTCAGCATGTTTGAGGAAATTTTCTCCTCTGAGAGACAATATACATATGTAAAAGCTTTGTTTTATTTTTTTCATGGCTGTATAAAACTTTGTGTACATGTGTGTGGTGCTGGGGATTTAATTCTGACCTCATACAAGGTAGGTGAGTATGCTATACCAGTGGACCATAACTCTAGTTTGTTTGTAAGATTAGATAATTTATATCGATTATGTTTTTTTACATTTGCTAACTTTTTCCCCAGTCATTTCATTCTGTAGTTAAGGCTATCCAATATATTTTAAAATTTAGATGCTATATTTTTCAGTTATTGAGTTTCCATATTGTCCTCATAAATACCTTCTAGGTCTTTTTTCTTTAAATCTTTTTTCTTTAGAATTTTTTGCCTTTTTATTTTTATAATAATATTATCAATTTCATTGAGTATAACAACAATAGCTAATTAAAGTCCTTGAATTAAAAAAAAAAAAGTGTGTCACCACACCCAGCTGGATAATTTGATTGGATAATTCTGTATATTTTATATATTCAGTCATTCAGATACATAACTGGAAATGCTTTTCTTCTGTAGGCTCTCTCTCCGTTGAGAAACATACACATGCAATCTTAGAATAAAAAGGGAAAACACAAAGTTAAAATTTTAAAATGAGGAGGTTGTAGAGATGGCTCAGTGGTTAAGAGCACTGGCTCCTCTGTTCTGGGTTTAATTCCCAGGAGCCATGTGGCAGCTTAAACTGTAGTGAGAATTTTGGGATTTTGGTTTCTTTAAAAAATGCAGAAATAGTATAAAATTTAATCCCTGGTTTGGAGAGTTTCTGAATTGTGTGATGTTTGGAATTCTGGGAAATTTTCAGAAGGTATATAAATACTAGGGCCCTAAGAGATGGGTTGGTGGTTGGTGGTCATTCAGGGGGGTTGGTTGTGGTTCCTTAATAGTTGTACTCAAAGAAGAAACAAAGAAATTAGATTCAGGTATCCCTCATTTTCCCCCTCTATCCTTCTTTCTCTCCTATCTACTGATAGCGATTAACCTGGGGGTTGGAGATAAAGGATGGGGGAAAGAAACCACAAAGTAGCAAAGACTAGCCACACATAACTGTAACTGCACCAGTCAGACAGGTAGTTCAGACATACATGCGGACCAAACACCCATACACATTAAATAAGTGAGTAAATAATGATGACCTATTGGGGCACTTTCTAAGTCCTCTTGAATCAGAGTTGCTAGATGGATGAGAGTGGTCAGTTAAAATCTCCTGTCTTCATACCATTCAAAATGTTTATTTTCAATCTTTCTTTTTTCTTAATTATTATTGTTATTTATTACAATTTATTAAGTTTGTATCCCATCTGTTTTCCTCTCTCCCATCTCCTCCTTTCCCATTTTCTCTCCCTCTTCCTTCTCGTGTTCCTCCCCTAGTCTATTGATAGACAATCTTTAGAAAAAAATCTAGAGGCCGCATATTATCTAGTTTCAAAATATACCGTAAAGCCATAGAAACAAATATTGTATAGTGCTGTTATGCAAACAAATTAATCTACTCAGCTGTACAGAGAACCTAGAATTAAAGAAGACATTCCCTTTTTTCGTTTTTTAAAGAAGTATTTATTTATACATATAAGCACTCTATTTGCACATGTGCCTTCATGACAGAAGAGAGCTTCAGATCCCATTATAGATGGATGTCAGCTACCATATGATTGCTGAGAATTGAACTCAAGGACCTCTGGAAGAGCAGACTGTACTCTTAATCACTGAGCCATCTCTCCAGCCCAACAGAGACATTTTCACTTGTTAATTTTCTTTTTTTTAATTTTTATTTTTTTTTAATATTAGTTACAGTTTGTTAACTTTGTATCCCCGCTGTATCCCTCTCCCTCTTTCCCTCCCAATCCCACCCCCCCAACCCCACCTCCGCCTTCATCATCTACTCCCTGCCCCTTTCCAAGTCCACTGATAGGGGAGAATCTCATCCCCTTTCATTTGATACTGGTTTATCAGGTATCTTTCAGGACTGGCTGCAAAGTCCTCCTCTGTGGCCTAGCAGAGCTGCTCCTCCCTCGGGGAGGGGGGGAAAGGGGAGGTCAGAGAGCTTGCCATTGAGTTCATGTCAGAAACAATCCCTGTTCCCCTTATTAGGGTACCCACTTGGATACTGAGCTACCAAGGGCTACATCTGAGCAAAGGTTTTAGGTTATATCCATATATGGTCCTTGGTTGGAGAAACAGTCTCATATAAGACCCCTGTGCCCAGATATATTTGGTCCTTGTGGAGCTCCTGTCCTCTCCAGGTCATATTAACTCCTCCCTTTTTTATGATTCCCTGTACTCTGCCAAAGATTTGGTTGTGAGTCTTAATATCTGCTTTGAAAATGTTTAAGCCCAGAGCTGTCAAGGCTCAGTTGGTCATTGAATTTACATTCACTTTAGGGGCTTCCCTTTTTTTCATACCAGGAGCCATTTCTGTCTACTTCACAGCATGTGGCTAGGCAAAGTCTCACTGGTTGCAGAAACTCCTAATTGTTTTGTTGTTGTTGTTATTATTATTATTATCTATCTATCTACTCTACAGCCTGATTACAGCCTCCCCCTCCTCTTTTCCCAGTCCCACCCTCGTGCCCCCTCCTCAGTCTCAAAGACGAGGAGGCTCTTAAGGGGTACCAGCCCACCCTGGCACCTCAAGTAGCAGCAGGACTAAGTGTTTTCTCTCCCACTGAAGACAGACAAGGCAACCCAGCTAATGGAAAGAGATCTAAAGACAGGCAACAGAGTCAGAGATAGTACTCCCATTGTTAGGGGACCCACATGATGACCATGCTGCACATCTGCTACATATGTGTAGGGGTCAAGGTCCAGCCCATGCATACTCTTTGGTTGGTGGTTCAGTCTCTGTGAGGCCCCATGGGCCCAGGGTAGTTTATTCTGTAGGTCTTCTTGTGGTGTCCTTGATCCCGTTGGTTCCCTCTATTCTTCCTCACACTCTTCCAGAGAACTCCCTGAGATTGGCCTAGTGGTTGGCTGTGGGTCTCTGCATCTGTTTCCATCAGCTGCTGGATGAAGCCTTTCAGAAGATAGTTATGCTAGGCTCCTGTCTGCAAGCATAGTACACTATCATTAATAGTGTAAAGGGTTGGCTCTCTCTCATGGGGTGCATTTCAAATTGGGCCGGTCATTGGTTTGCCATTCCTTCAGTCTCTGCCCTGTCTTAATCCTTCTTATTTGTATACCCTGTGGGAGTAATATCCAAGCTAAGGAATGTCTTCTGAGTGTATTGCCCAGTGGAGAAGCAATCAGAGTGTTGAGCTTCTTACTGAAGTTGTATGGGTCTGGGTGCTTTCAAGTCATGTATAGCATTAAATAACTTGTAAGAGGAAGGATGCTGTAGAAATTGAGAGAAGCCCACTAGACCTGAGCTTTCAGCGTTCTCAGCCTCCACTGACTGAAACCCATGGGAGAAAGAGGTGCTACCCACTGCTCTGGGCCTTGAGTTTCCATGGTTATTTCTAGGTGATGGAGTCTATCCCTTTTCACAAAGGGTAGGGCCCACCCCTCACTATGTTTTACCCAGTCTGAGCCTTGTGCTGCCTGGCATGTCTAGTCTCAAATGGTCATCCTTCACTCAACATGTAAGTAAGGAGTAAGGAGCATGGCAATATGGATTTTGTCTTTAATGTAGATCTAGCATGCAGGAGGAATCAGTGTCACACTAAATCACCACCTAGACATAAGGCTTGTGTAGCCTTCTGTAGTTGGGACTACCATCCCCATTTTACTAAGGCATACTATGTTTGAGACTCCAGGTTCTTTTCCCCTGCCAGGGATCTGGTTTCATGACCTGTTTGATTTTCTGAGCTTTTCAGCTATCCCAGAATTAGTTTTGTGGTTCAGACCATAGCCCCTTTTTCTGCCTTCAGAATAGAATCCGCTGTTCATTTTCTTGCCTGTTCACCTTTGACATCACATCAAAGTGCCAAAGCTATCTTTCCTCCTCTTCTTTCTGTCCTTCCTTTTGTGTCCACAAGGTATCTTTTACACATTTGTTTTTACCCACATTTTTTAAAAATTTTATTTTAGGGGACACATTTTTTTTTTCTTTTGTACATATGTCCTTACGCGAGTGGATACCTGTGTGTATGTGTGTTTGTGTATATGTGTGTGTTTAGACCAGAAGATCTCAAGTGTCATTCCTCTGATGGTATCTACCAGTTTGTGTTTTTTATTTATTAATATTTATTTATTTATTTGAGAGAGGATCTTTTACTTGCCTGTAACTTGCTAAATACTCTATACTATGTGGTCAGTGTGTCCTAGGGACCCACCTTCCCAGCACTGGGATCAAAGGTATGCATATCACATCAACTCAGGTCCTTGTATGTACAAGGGAATCTGATTGAGCTATCTCCCCAGCCCCTGGTTGTTGTTGTTATTGTTATTATTTACCATGAATTGTCAATTCTAGGTCCCAAGCTTATCAGTCATAGGTTTATGGAAGCCTAAATTAAATGATTATTAGTCTTCCAGGGTCGGGGGATGGGTGTAAGACCAAATGGCTAATAATTATTGCTTGAGTAAATCACGAATCTTCATTGTTGTGCAGGAAAAGAAAAGATGAAATAAGGAAAGCCCAAGAAAAGAGAAGGAAGGCCAGGGAGAGGAGGCGAGCTCTGAAGGAAAGAGACAGACACCAGCAAAGAAAGGAGAAGGTGAAAGCCAAGGCTGAGGCTCAGCAGGAGCTGGACTCTTTGGAAGAGTGGGAGGAGCGGAAGTACTTGCTGGCTCAGAGGCGGGTTGAGGCCCTTCGTTTGCTCCGGGTCCTCCTGAAGAAGATTGAAGTAAGGCTGTTTGCTAATTATTCTCTTCTGTTTGGGCAGGCACTATTCTTTCTGAAGCCCAGCCTTCAGCTTTAAGTACTGTCCCACCAACCAGTGGCAGACTCCTGGCATTCATAGGGGTTTCCATTCATTGGGCTTTCACATAAGCCCAACCATGGATTTCCAGAGCAGTCTCTAAAACAGTCCTGTCTCAACTCTGCCCTCACTTTGTGCTTCTAAACTTCAGAACACTTTAGCTACTTCATCTTCTTTTCTGAGTTCCTTATGGTTATGACAGGAATCAAAGGGTGGGTGTGGCATGAGTGTTAGATCTCTAGCCTTCTATTAAGTGTATTTATCCCTCTATCTGTAGTAGGTTTGGGTGAAAAGGGAAAAGAACATTGAGCCTTGTAAAACTCATAATAGCCTTCTCTTGAACTATCTGGTAAGAAATTTATTAACTCACAGATTAATTATTTTCGTTAGACATTTTCATTTCGCCAAGATATTTCTCTCCCTTTATGGGGTCCTAGAGATAGGCAGAATCACAGATACTTTGGAATAATAGAGATGTTTCTAAAATATGCATTTAAAAGTCCATATGCAATGTTTTAAACTTTGCGGAATGATTGCTGCCACTATTCTATCAAGTGAATTTTATTTCTGTTTGCCATGTTGATCTCTTGCTCATTACTATAGATAACTAAACTTGGTGAAAACAGGATCAGGAAAAACAATCTCACAATTGGATTATTGATAGCAATCCCAGTTAGACTGGTTTTTAGTTTACCTTAATGGTGTCCAAGTGTGACTCTTTTTGTAGAATCTACCTCTTTAAATGGGTATGGAGCATAATTCTGGAACCCATTAATACTTAAATTGATTACAAGGCACTAGGGAGGTGCTGTGCCCTGATGTGTGGCAGACATCAGTGGGAATTATAGCATACTGTCCTAGGGATGGGTATGGAGGCATCTTCTCTCCCTTACTCTGCATCCAACTTGACGAAAGGCAAATCCGTGGACACAGCTCTGTTTTCCACTTGGTGTTACACTTTTCTTTTCTGACTTTGTAAGGTGTATCTCTGTTGCACCTGTCTTCCATCTTAACAGGGCAGGCCAGGTGGCTCAAGTCTGAGACAGCCTCAACTGGCAATCCATAGAAAAAGATTAGAATATGAAATAGAGGGACAGTTTATTTATTAAACCAGTTGACCTCGTTGGAAACTTTTCACCCATTTATCTTTTCTGGTATTAGGGTTTCCTGTGAGGGCTATAGAGCATTCTTTATTCCTCTTTCTTTATCTAGCACCTGTTGTAAGGCAATTTTTGAGCAAATAAAAAGAGCAACGTACTTTAAATGCTGTAGCATAAGAATGGTCACAAATTTTATAAAAGCAGGTCATATTAGACAAAAACATTTAATTTAGTACTGTTTCCTCAGTACAGTATTGAGCTATATCAGCTATGTTTTTGGAAAATTTCAATGTCTTTGTGTTTAGTTTTGAATTTTTGTTTACATTTATTTGTTTACACTTATTTGTTACATTTGTTTGTTTATTTATTTTGTGTGTGAGTGGAGAGGGGCTGCATGCCATGGTGGTAGTGTGTGTGGTGGTCATAGGACAAACTTGCAGAGGTCATCTTTCTCCTCTCTCACATATGGGGCACTGGGTTAGAACTCAGGTTGTCAGGCTTAGCTGCAGGCACTTTTATCTGCTGAGCCATCTTGCTGACCCCATTTGTGTTTTCATGAAAGATCATGAAATCTTTTTTTTTCTTTAAAGGGATCCACACAGTGTAACACACAGGAAGTTAATGTTATGAAACCTGAAGTTCATCACACCCTAGGGACTACAATGAAATCTCCAGAGGAAGAAGAATTAAACACTCAGCATCTTCTAGATTGGGAAGAAATGTCAAGCAATCAGGTTTCCAAGCCTGACAGTAAACAAAAACAAAAAGTAAAGAAAAGAACTCAGTTACAGAAATCTTTCCACAGTTCTAACACTAAACAAATAAGATGGTCGACTAGAAAAGAGGAAATTGGAAAAGTGTTAACTAATGAGTATGATTACAGTTTGATCTCTGACCAGAATTCCTCATGGAGTACAATAATTCTGGATCATTCTCTTGATACAGAAGATGAGGACAGTTTTAATGAATCATATTCTTCTAGACAAACTGTGATAAACCATGGCAGGAAACAGAAGATCTACGAAACAGATGAATTTATTCACTATTTATTAAATTACTATCAGACTCCAGAGTATGCCCGATTCTGTCTTGAAACAAGTCACTCAACAAGCATGTATCAGTGGCAGAGAAATGTCTACACTAAGGGGGATGGCTTTCAGATCAATTTAAGAAAACATAGGTGCCACTCAGACAGTCTGAGTGAGGTGGAGAGCCTGGAAGGGAAAGAAGAGGATCAAGAGCAAGGCTGGTCAGAGGTGTATATGAAAGATCCTGAGAGTAAGTCACAGAAGACAAGCAAAATCAGTGATGTCAAAAATTTTACTAAGAAATTAAAAGACCATTACAAGGATATAGCAAGTGAAACTGATAATCACCTGTCCAAAACTGATGAAGAGAGCTATCCTGTGGAAAAGATTCACAGTCACAGAGTCAAAGATCCTCAACACACAGGAAAAAGTCCAGTTTTTTCATCAGTAAGGTCAGTAGATATAGGTTTGCCATTGGCAGACTTCTTGGAGGAAATTAGTAGTGATTCTGAGTGCTTCAGTGAAAATCTTAGCATAAATGAAGAAGAGGAAGAAAGGTCTGTGGCTGTCTATTCTAGCTCCCCAGACAAAAGACCTCATGGTACTGACAAAACCATTACTTGCAAACAACGGAAAAGTAGGTCAGCAGAGTGGAAACATGACAGTGAGGAGAGATCCTCCAAACACAAAGTTAGGGCGCCTGGTAAAAGGTCCAAGTACGAACTGAGCTATTCGTGGCATGAGGATGAATGTGATTCTGTTCAAGTTGACAAGAACATGAGAAAAACTAGGGAAAACCTACCCCCCAGATACATGTTTGATGAAGGCTACTACTATGAATCCATTTTCAACAATGAGGTTGAGAACAGCACAAGAAAGAGGAGGAGAGTTATTAGTATGATTGACCAGAATGTGAAATATAGGCCCCTACATCTGTCGTTAATACCGCCAAAACATGCTAGAGCTTTCCATTTGGGATATTTCTCCAGAAAAAGACAGAATCCCTGGATGTCAGAATATAACAGAATGTAAGAAGGCATAAAAGATTTGAAAGTACTGAAGATTACATGCTTGATTCTGATAATTATTATGACAGTCATGATTACAACCAGGAGCACATTGAGTTATGAGTTATGGACGCTACTTAGGAGACATTCTCTGGCTTTCTGTATTTTAAACTGTTCTAATGGCTACTTGGATCAGAAACACCCTTATTTACAAGAAACAATTGATGAAAAGACAAACTTCAAACCAAATATAGCTGTTTTAACAACCACAGAGCAAAAACTAGAACAGGGTCAAGTGTAAAAGTTGTTCCTCCTGCCAAAGTTTAAAGTATGAATTAAAGTATGACTGCAGGTATGTCAGCAATTTTGGAAGTAAAAAACCCTGTATATTCTGAAGCTTGGTGAAATAATGTAATTGCAAAACTTCATTATTCAAGGACAGACTTTATTTTAAGCTTTAATTTGGTGCCAGTGAAGGAGAAGATTCGCATTAAGAAGGCTGACTTAGCTTTCTATTGCTCTTACGCTGTCATAACATTCATCATCTATCTTCAAAGAGGACAAATAGACATCTTTTGATGTGTTTATAGATTTGGTCAGAAGTACTATGTATGGTAACAATCTTTGCTAAAATTTACTTCATAATTCTAAATAAAGAAGAAATCCAGAGGTTAGAACACATGATAGATTTCATGAAGACCCGTCAGAAGGAAATGAGTATGTTCATAGCACTCAATGAGTTATTCATTTACACACAGTTTTAGAAGAAGAATCTAAAAGGGGCTGATTACCCTTTGATGGTTAAGTAGATGGGACTGTTAGAATTTTTCTTGTTTGTTTTATGAATCCCATATCTTTCCATCAAAGCACCAGGATTGAATTCATAAAACCAGAGGGATTTGCAAAAAGAAATATCAAAAGAAAAAAAAATCCTGGTGCATTGATAATGGCACTTGGGAAGAAAAGTTGTGACAGTATTCTACTTCAGGCTTTGTAATCCTTTCACTCAGGGTTGGGTGACATCAGTTTGTAAAAAGTCACTGACTATCCCCCAAACTGACTTTTATAAAACAGTAACAAGTGCCTCCTCAATCCTTATCAATGCCATGGAGTTAGGAAGAGTTGAAAGAAAAGCCCACAATTTTGCAGCTGTGGAAAAATTTTATGTGCGCAGAATTTGTAAACGATGTTAAATACGTGATTTATCTTTTTGCCAACTCGTTTTGGACTTCTTAAATATGTTTTTAAATTGAGATGTTTGTAGATTCCTGAAGACGTACCCCTTAGTGCAGTGCATGTTCTTGTAGCAAGCTTGGCCGACTCTTCTGCCTTACACTGGATTCAGGACCTCAGGGCAGTTAGTTGACCTTCATTTTCCCAATAGACCATCTGCAACAGGAAGAGTTATTTAGAATCCACAGAACCCACGAAGGGCAGCATTTTCATGGCACTTTTCATTTCAGTCTCAATTTGACGTTCTGCAGAAAAGCATGTGCTAGTGGAGGCAGGTAGGATGCCAGGCTGTGGGGCTCCCTCCTATCATGACCGGTGTGTCCATAAACTGCCCCATGAGCAGCAACCTGGCATCCACAGTGCTTACAGTTCATCTGAAGCAAAAGCCACAGGCTATTTCATTGAATATATATGTCCAATCACTTAAAAGTTCATAAAGGAATGTAACGATCCACGTGCATTACTAAGAAACAAGTGAATAGTATGCTGCTTCTCATGTTCAATTCCACTTTCAAGCTAGTGGTTGGTTTCACTTTTAAAACTAGGTTTGACTTGTTGAATCTGAGAGACTGCTCATGTGGCCAGAGTGCCTTTTTTTTGTTTTGTTTTTGAGGACTCGCAGTGACTATTCATGTTCAAAGTACTGTTGCCCAAAGTAGCCTTTAAAAGTACTAACAGCTCATATTTTGTCAGAGAGTTTTCTGGAAACATACTATTCTCCTCCAAGAAAAAAATCTGCCTCTTTTTCCTCCTTCACATCTTATTCCATTGAAACAAAAAACCATTATGAATTTGTAATAGAAAGCAGCTGATTGTTTTGAAACAAACAAACAAAAAACACTCAATTTCTTTCCTTATTTGATAATTTTCTTGTGAGACTTTAGGCATTTTTGCTCAGTAAAAATAAATAAGATTACAGATTTCAGCAGCATGTGCAAAGTTTTTTTGTGTTTTTTTTTTTTTTTTCTGTAATAGACGTGGTGCTAAGTCATTTTGATGCAGCACTTTTGTCTTATTTTTTTGTTTGCTGAATGCTCTCCTGGGGCCTACAAGTAAAACTACTGCTTTTGGTGAACCCTGGAGTCTTGTGCCTGTCTGTGGTAATGCATTGTAGATTTGTGTCAGCCCCTTTTTGGTGTAGGCCTTCCATGAGAAAGGTAATATCTTCCTCTGTGCTTGTCACTCAGTGACTTAGTAAAGAATGTAATGGAACAAAATGTTATGACCACTTTTGTTCTTAATATTGTTGTGAAGAGTATTTTCTCATATCTTTTTGTTTTATCAAAGGCCTGAACTTGTTTTATTTAAATAGGGGTTTCGTATGCTTTCCTTGTATGTGCTGCTAATCCTGTAAAGGAAAAGTCTGTTAATGTGCTTTGATCATTTGTTTGAATTTCTCAGGTAGAAAGCCATGTAATCTAGGCATTTTGAAAACGCAACCAAATCAATGTGTTTTTGTTGCAAAACTGTCTAATGTGTTAATTTTAAAATAAATGCTGATTGATTCCATTTTGGGGAGAAGTTTCTGTCTGTAGTAGGATATGTTGCACAAATGTAGTTCTTTGCTTATTTGCATTGTTAGAACAGTGATATACATTTAATTTTCATATATTTAAAAATAAAATTGTCAATAGTGACAATAGTGCCTATTGACTGATCATTGCATTGGGTGTATCAATACATACCCATAACATTTCCAACTCATTTCAATATTTTAATTCTACTTCTTTCTCCTTTATGATAGGAACTGACTGTCAGAGTTAAAGGAACCAAAAGCCAGTTTATTTTTCATTTTGGATAAACTAAAATTGCACTTAGACTCAAAATTATCCTTCTTTAGGTACTCTAAAAATTATTTTTGAGAATTTTATACAAGTGTACAATGAAATATGGTCTTATCTGTCCCCTACTTCTTTTTTCTATTTCCCCTTGTATTTCTTTTTTTCCTTTTATTGTTTTTTTTTTGTTGTTGTTGTTTGTTTGTTTTGAAACTGGGTTTCTTTGTGTAGTACTGGCTGTCCTGGAGCTCTTTGTAGAACAGGCTTGCCTCAAACTCACAGAGATCCATCTGCCTCTGCCTTCTGAGTGCTGGGATTAAAGGCATGCACCAACACTGCCCAGCTAATTTATTTTTTATTTTATGCATATTGGTGTTTTGCCTACATGTGTGAGCAAGTTGGATCCCCTGGAACAAGAATTACAGGCAGTTGTGAGCTGCTATGTGGGTGCTGGGAATTTAGCCTGGGTCCTCTGGAAGAGGAGCCAGTGTTCTTAACCTCTGAGCCATCTCTCTAGCCCCTCCCCTGGTATTTCTAACATGCCCCCCTCCAACTTAATCTCTTTCTCTCTCTTTTTTTTAATAATCCACTAAGTCTAGTGCTGTCTGTATGTACATATGTGTGGAGGTCATCCATTGGAGTATGGGAAATCTATGGTAACGACACCTTCAAAGAATAATTTCCCCTCCCAAAGCAACTATCTCTGCCAAAAGCTCATCAATATAGGGTGGAACCTGGAGATCCTTTACACCATTTGTACTGGGATTTTGGCTGGCTTGATCTTGGGCAGGTAACTACAGCTGCTGTGAATGCCTATGATAGCTATGCATGCCCAGAAGACAGCATGTCACAGCATTCTTCCTTATCCTCCGGTTTCTGTTTTCTGCCTCCTCTTAAGTGATGACCCTTGAGCCTTAGTGGTGGTGGTGGGTGGGATTATAGATATCATGTTTAGGGCTAAACACTCAGTACATCTTTGTGAGACAGGGTCTCACTTGTGGCCTGGGCTGGCTTTGAACTCCTGATCCTCTTGCTTAAGACTCCCGAGTGCTGGGATTACAGATATATTCTCCCCCCCCCCATTGTTTGTCATAATATACTTAATCAGTGCTGTTAAATGGTAGCAAAATGACTCTATGGAATTTCATTTCATCTCATTCTCTCAGTTGCATGTTAAACTTAAAGTTTGCAGATGTCCAAAAATATATGAGTGTGGAATGGGGAGCCTAGTCCAAGGAGCTTAGAACCATAATTGGTCTTTGATCATTCAAGAGTTAACTCTATTTACTCAGCTCACTATTTCTCCACTTGTTTCCTTTCTTCCTCCTCACTATGTACCTCAGGCAGGCCTTTAACTTACTGTCTTCCTGCCTCAGTTTTCCAGTGCTGGGATTACATGGTGGTTCCTCTTAGCACACATAGAAGTCCAACACCCAAGTTAAACTCAATTTTAAGCTAAAGTCAAATGACTAAATCAGATTTAACTATTACATTTTAAAATTTAATCTTTTGAGAATTTTAATACTATGTATTATGATCGTATCTAAACATTACCTCTCCTGGACTCTCCCCAACATGTCCCCACTAGTCTTTAAAAGAATACCTCACTACATCTAATTAGGGCTGCCTGTATGTCCATATGGGTACAAGGTACTGCAACATGAGTAACCTACTAGTGGCCACGCCTTCAAAGAAAAATTGACTATCCCTACCTTAGTTACCATTAACTACCAGTAGCTCTTCAATGGGGAGAGAGTATGAGCTCCTCTTCAATTGGTGCTTGAATTTTGGCTGGTTTGATCTTGAGGTCACCACCCCGGTGCTGTTAGTTTATTAGTGCAACAACCATGTCATGTCCAAAAGACGGCTATTGCACAGCACTACCCATACCCCAGGCCTTAGGTTTAAAAATTTAAAACAAGCTAGCCGGACTATACTGGGTAAAACCTTTTTTATTAACTGATCCAAGCACTTTGTTTTTTTTTTTTTTCTGATTTCAGATAAAACCGTTAAACACAGCTCACAAGAAAATACAATGACTAACTAAAATTACAAGAGTTTGAAACCTCACTAGTTCATATAATACTTTTACAAATTTATACAACTGTAGCTACTTATCTACAGTTAAGCTAGGTTTAATATTAAAAGAGAATTCTCCAAGACCTAGACACTTGACTACTTTCCAAGTGACTACAGGTTTGTAACAACAGAAGGATTTGACTGTTACCTTAGGAATGTATTTTCCTTTCAAAATCACTCAGCTAGTGCCATGTAGTGTTTTCTCATTCTTCAGAGATGACGGTGAAAGTCTTTGGAAAAGCACACACTTGTTCCTGCCCTGTATGTCCCTCTCAAAATTTGCATTTGGTCAATAACCACATAGCCATTGCTCTGCTACAAGCAACAGAATTTTATTTTTTAAATTTTTATTTTTTGCAAAGCCCTACTTTGTATTTTCAGATGCTGTTTTAGTTCCAATTGCTAATTATTGTGTGTGAGTTACCATATGTGGGAGTGTATCCACATGGGGACAAGGTTGATAAATCAGCCCACCAACACAGGCAATATGTTTGCCCCAACTGAGACCATTATTGAATTTTCATTTTGTTACTGGACATCTTTCTATGGACATCCATAGATTTATGGAACACTGCAGATTTGCTTTAGAGGTAGATAAAACAATAATCATGCAGTTAAGTCAATTGAGTAAAATGGGCTTGTTTTCAGAGAACAACATGATTAGAAGTTGATCCTTTTTCATTCTCAGTACATTTACCATTTTGAGCAGTTTGTGGAAATACCCAAGTTTTCTCTTTCTCTCAGAAAAATCAAATTGCAATTCAGCTTGTTCTAACTACAGATAGAAGAAAAACAGCTTTAACATTTGCATTACAGCACTGCAGTTGACTTTCTGGATTTGTGACACACACATCATGCATTCTAAGACAAGTTGATTTTACCTGTGTCACTAGTAATGTTAATTTAAAAAATTTACAGCAAGTTCAAAACTTTTCTAAATAGTGAAATCACCATGTTTTAAAGACAGACTAGAATGTTACAAATGATTTTGCAAAATACAAAAATAGATATGCTTCCACTGAATGCTTCAATCATTTTTCCGAGCATTCTCATCTTTTGCTTCTTCATCATCTGAGTACACAGTTGGTTCCTCCCCTTCCTTCAGCAGTTTGCCCACATGATGATACTTGACTGGGGGTAAAGAAAGAACCACAAATAGTCATTCTCATGCTTTACACACATAAAAAAAAATCACTGTTTCATTTTAAAACGTTTATGAGAGGTCCACACATTATACTCAGCAATGTGTTAGGTTTCTTGAAGGGTCTAAAAGGATTCTATCATATTCTTTGTGAAAACTGAAACTGAGTTTTGTTCAAAAGACAGAAATATAAAGCAGCAAGCAATGTCAAATGGTATCAAAGTGAACTGAGCACTCTGTTGAGAGTATTTATAGTAAGACTTGACTGTGAATTTGGGGGTTGTAGAGTACTTCATGGAAGAAATGCTTTGGGAAATGTATGGACAGACTTTGGGTAAGAAACATTTCCAGAAAAAGGAAAACACATTCAAAGGTACAGAGGCAAGACTAGGCATATCTGGGAAACAGTAAGAACATGTAGGTCAGGAGTAGAATTGGCATTTTGAAATAGTAGGAGATAAGTCTGACTAATGTGTGTGGGAATATTATGAAAGACCTGATTAGCCGGCCTGAGAAATCTGAACTTCACCTATAGGTGGCAAAGGCACTGAAAGTTTATAACAGAGAGAATGACACAGCAAAATAGTACTCTGGCATCATTCTCATCAAGATATGTAGGGCAGATTTCAGTAAAAGCAGTTAAGCCGGGTAACCAGGAGACTGGTATGGAGAGCCAGGTGTGAAGAAAACATCGATGAGTAGGGTAAGATCATTAGGAGGTAAAGGAAAGGATATGAGATAGCTTCAAAGAAAACTGGAAACATTGTTAATGAAGCGGCAACTGGACAGCCTGTGAGCCAAAATGAGGACTGCAAAAAGGGAGCCTGGAGAACCACATGACAAGAGACCTACAGCATAAACCAGAGTTGAGAAATTAGTACCAGACAGGAATCAAGTCTAGTACAGCTGTGGACAGGTTACTTTAGGAGGAAAAGGCGACAGAAAGCTGAAGCAGTGCTTAGGTGCAAGTTGGAGAGTATGTTAAGATAGTGATGGAGTAGAACAATGGTTAAGTAGATAAGCAGGACAGCCAGCAGGAGAGAGACTTCCCAGCTTGGGGGACAAGCTATGGGTAATTAAAGGGTCATTCTCATGCTTTACACACACACACACAAAATTCACTGTTTCATTTTAAAACATTTATGAGAGGTCCACAGAATATACTCAGCAATGTGTTAGGTTTCTTGAAGGGTCTAAAAGGATTCTATCATATTCTTTGTAAAAACTGAAACTGAGTTTTGTTCAAAAGACAGAAATATAAAGCAGCAAGCAATGTCAAATGGTATCAAAATGAACTGAGCACTCTGTTGAGAGTATTTATAGTAAGACCTGACTGTTAATTTGGGAGTAGGAAGTAGGAAGGGATTGAAGATGTTGGAATAAAGAGGTTCAGATGTGAAATCAGAATTTGCAAGCTCCATTATAACCAAGTGAATACAGGGTTAATGCATATTTCCTCTGAAATGGGGAGGAATGAGAGGAATAACCAATCTGTTTAAACAGGTAACTAAAGATGCTTTTATGTGAAATAAGATTTGGTAACAACAAAAACTTCCCTATTTGAACACTGCATAAAGGTGTATGTTGGGGGTGGCTTGGGACAGTGGAAGATAAATAAAAGCCAAGTGGCACCTGTGAAACCTGCTTTAAGGGGAATGACTTTGAGTGCAGCTGAGGTGTTGGGGAGTCCTAAGTGAATGGGGTGGTGGGTAAAAGAAAACAATCACTTGTTTCCCTCTGATGCCAGAAAGCCCTAGAACACAGAACTTTGGGGGTTATAAATTATAACTCATTAGTTTCATATAGAAGACTATGATCACAAAGGCATCTTGGGATGCAAATGTTAGTGACTATGTTCATCAGCTGGACTGTCTTCAAAGTCCAAAGATTTGTGTCCTGACCCGAGAGCTCTATTTGGTCTGTTCAGGATCCAAACTCAAAAGTTAGTGTCACATCTGGCTAATCATTAACCAAGAACTCTCTCAGGTTATTCTTTAAAAGATAGATATAGTCAAAAAAGCATGTACTACTTGACTGTGGAGATCAGAAAATAAAAAGTTTCTCCTATACCCCAAAACATCTTCCTCAAACTAAGTGGCCATGGTCTTCACACACAGTTCATAAAATCTGGAAAAAAATTATGGTTCAAATCTGTGCCAGGGAAGTAATCACAAAATGATCACTTAACCCTTGGGACTTTTTGGCCAAAGCCAGTTCCTGCATTCTCATGATCTGAATTTCACCCCTTATTTCTACCTCAACTCTAAAGAATTTACCCTTCTCCGATACGTAAGCCTGAAACAAGTGCTTCTTTTTTTCTTTAAAAAACAATGCAGACACCATTATTGCTGATCAGATTATAAGTAGCACTTATAGATGAGGCCTAATTTGTAGTTCAGCTAAATTAGATTCAGTGAGAAGCTGTTTGGCAGAACACAAGTCTCCCATTCTTCAATGGAGCTGTGGGCTGCTTTGAAACATTAAGTGTGAGAAGAGAGGGCTTATGAAAATCCCTCTGTTCCTTCCCCTATCGCCCAAATGCCAGTATGGAATCTATAGACCTTTATGCAAAAACTTACACATCAAAATCAGAAGCTGTAGAGGACAAACTAAAAATTGGTGTGCCATTATTGCAAGTGACTCAGCACTGCTATCATTATTCTATGCCACAAATGCGGTCCATGCAAGATTCAGGAGCCTATCAAGATGCATGAAAGTTTCAGGGTGCTTAGTAATAATTATTGTTTGATGGTAAATCTGCATTACTTGTAGAAATTTGATCCGGGCAAAATATAAAGAAATGCTTACAAGTGAACTGAGAGTCCCAGTCACTCAGAGTCTCCTGCTGGGCAGGTGTGAGGTCAGAAAGGTCATCATATTCATCCTTCAGCGCTTCTTTGTCCAGGCAAAATGTAGCAAGGCCCCTGGATGCATCTCTTCCAGCAAAGACCCCGTATGGCCCCTCTTTAAAAACAAAATGAAACCAAAGATAGAGTTTTTACTACATAGTAACTTCTCTGTGGCTCACATACTGAAAGCCTCCTTTTAAATTTCAAATTCCATCTTTCTTTTTCTTTTCTTTTCTTTTCTTTGAGACAGGGTTTCTCTGTGCAGCTCTGGCTGTCCCAAAACTCACTCTGTAGACCAGGCTGGCCTCAAACTTACAGTGATCCACTTGCCTCTGCCTCCTGAGTGGTGGGAGTAAGTGAGTGTACCACCACTGCCTGGCTTCATATTCCATTCTTAAACTACATGTATACTGACACTTTGATTATTGCACTGAAAGACATACGGTCACTTCAATAAGTACAATGTCATAAAAGTCATTTGCAATCTCCTATGACCTGTACAATATAAGCATAAATGGTTCTTTTTGGGGTGGCCTTGATAGGGAATGACTGATTATATACAGTCCATGGGTTAGAAATCAGCTCAAAGACTTTGTATCTATAAGTTGGCTCTATTCTAGGTGCTTGAGCCAAGCCAGTCAAATTATAGTTTCTTAACCACTAATGTGTAAATGAAAACATTTCTTTATCAACATATTCCTATAAGTTTTAAGTGATCTTTGGTTGCAAGACTTGAACCCTAAGGCATCTGCAGGAGAAATCTTTTTACAAATATCAGTGTTTCAAAACCTACCCACATGTTATATAATCTTCACTATCAATAAAGAACTAACAGTAAAGGAGGTCAGTTTTTGGTACTGTTTTTAACTATAAGAATAAAGATAAGCATAAACAGTTGTGAAAACACTAAAATTTTCACCAAAAGGGCTGCAATCAGTGCCTTCAAATAATCCCATAAAACCTGGAAAATGCTATTATGTTTCACATCATACCAAGCTTTTGTCTTAGAGCTCTGGATCATTCTGTATTCACTTAAAGTGGTTGTTTAGTTATTTAAATATTGCACAAGCAAATGAAAAGAATTCAGTGTACTTTAAACAATGCCTTGTTTTTCCAAAAGTAGGCTGGATAGCAACTCTGACATTAAAATCATTATACCAACTAGAAGATTGAATCATATTTCATTACAGTGTGGCCATCTGAAACCTCAATCCACCCAACTGTTTTTCTTTCTTACTTTTCTGATTTTTTTTTTTTTTTTGTAGGACTAGGTAAGCACTCTACTGCTGAGATATACTTCATCCTTAGGATCAACTTTTAAATGCAATTAAGAGTCTAAAATAAAGGCTTTTTAAAAAAGTTATCATTACATGCTGCCACTAGCAAAGGTTAAAAAAGAAAAAAACTTCATATGCTTTTCACAAATATATACTGCTAATGGAATAGTAGCATCTAGTGCTTAAAAACAGGCAAATTATTTTGTTTAGACACTACTATTTTAGAAATTATGGTCCTTGGACTGCTAATGAATACTTAAACAAGATCTAAAACAACTATTAATGATCCTTAGAGAATATATTTTGTTCACTACAAAGCCTATTAACTAGATGCTTAGTAAGCAGAGGTTTGTGTGTTTTGCTTACTGTTACTTGCTAGCACCTACAACAGTTCTGCGTATATAGTACCAGACACTCAAATGAATAATTTCTAGGTGTACTCTGTATAACAGAAAATATTTGCAAATATGGTATCATCACTGTTTCTGAGCCTACTCAATAATGGAGAACAGCTGCTTGGAGACCTCACACTGGGCTGTGTTTGCTTTTTTTTCCAGAGGGAAAACTAAGGCCCTGAGACAACAATGCATTGTAACAGGTCAAACAGCTGGTCAGTGACAACAGGCTAGAATGTAGAATGCAGGTTGACTCGTATTTGTAGTTACTCCTGTACACACGATGATATTCCTCAGGATGCCCCTGCAAACTCTAACCTACCTGGTATAGAATGGAGACAGCTTGACTCCAGTTGTGCTCTCTGAAAGCACAACCATATGACAATGCCTTGTGCATTTGTTCTGACTACCTTATGGTTTAGCTCAATAATTATGGGTATTTACATGGTTGTTTATGGATAATGTGATACTATAGTGGCAAATAATATGTAGATTTCATATTATTTTGCAGTTACATGCCTACAGAAAATAATTTTTCTAAAATGTCTGAAAGCAAAAATGAAAGGTGAGAGTTCGCTCAAACCCTCTGCACATGTGATTTTGATTGGCTGTACTCTGGAGACCTAATGGAGTGGGTTATGTCTGGTTTGGATTAGTGCTGGCTATTCTTCCCTCTCAGACCAATGAGCATGTGAACACACCCCGAGTTTCTAGTGCTTAGGGGAATCATATTGGAGGCAGTAAAACCTCTTCTTCCTCTCCAAATATTCTAGAAAGCTCTGTTGATTCCCAACTTCAACTACAGGAGTGTATATTAAAATATAGATTTTTTTTTTCGGCCCTTCCTCTATGGATGGTCAGGCCAGGAATCTGTATTTTTCACAAGCATCAGGTGATTCTGATAGGCAATCCGCTTTGTAAAAACCTCATCTCTAGGGATCCTTTCCAACAGTTCAGCAGTCATCTGTCCATTTCTTGTTTTCTCTCTGGTTGGCTTTTCCTGACACCCCCCACCCATCGGGATTCACAGCCTCACCCTATTGTTTCCCAGGACCCCCTCTCCTCTCCCTTCCACCTTGGTTTCGTTTAATTTTATTTTTTTAAGTTTTTTATTTGCCTCCCAGTTCCCCCACCCCACTAAATATGGTGTTTCTGATCATCTCACCACGTTACCATGGTCCACCACACTATGCCTTTAATGTCCCCCCAACTAGCCTCCTTCCCTCCATCAAGCTTGTTCTGCTTCCAGCTTCTCAGTCCACCCCATACAGCGAGCACATACACATACCAAATACATACCTGATACATGCCACATTCCAAACGCCCCCCCCCAAACGGTGCACACCAAACACGCACACACCGCGCATGCACACACTGTACACAACACACACACAATCTCTCTCTCTCTTTCTCCCCCCCTCCCCAACCAGGAACAGTGTTTCAACCTGACACTAATCCCCTTCTCCACTTTCTCTCTCCACACACCCTTACATTCCACCATGGCTCCTCCGGCGTCATCGGCCTCCACGTCTTCTCAGGAGTCCGGGCTTCTCTGGAGACACCTTCATTTCTTTTCCTCAAATCCGAAACCCCCCCTCCCTTTTCATGACCCCCGCCCCAAATCCCGATACCTTTGAAAACTTCCTCAACATCCTGGGCCTTCGAGCCTCGCTGTCCCTCCCATCCGCGGCTTCCAAGCTTCAGTCTAATTCGGGCACCCCATCCCCCCCGCCCATACACAACTCTCCTACCGCCCCCAGCGCCTGTTGCCCCTGGCCCATTCTGGCAGCTGCCCGCCTTTCCTCTGACCCTCCCTCCCTCTGGGGCGCCCAACCTCCCTTGGCCTCTCTCTGGCCCTCTTCATGCCAGGGTCCCTTCTTTTGTCTCCAGGGTTCCCTGGCCCTGACTCCGTACCCGGCCCGTAGAATTTGCGGCCTTTGGTCACGTCGAACACCTTGCCATTAATGGCCATAAGAATGCGCGGGTCCTGGACGCCGTCAAAACGTCTCAGCTCAGCAGGGGTGAAGTCGCGCCGCTTGAGGCGAGGCAGCGGGGGTGGCTCGTCGTCGTCGTTGTCGCCACCAGCCCCGAGCTGGTCCCCGCGTACGATCTTGTAGAGCAGAAAGATGCAGAGGCCGAGAAGCAGCAGGTTGAGGGGAGACGTGAAGATCTCATGCAGCAGCCCGCCGCTCTCCAGGTCGCTCGGGTCGGCGCCAGTCGCCACCACATCCTCGGCAGCCATGATCTCTGGAGCAAAGGTTGGGCCGGGCTAGGCAAGAGCTCCCGAACACTCTGATTTCTCCTCCCTCTCTGCAAATGCGAACAGTAGAGCGCTCGGCGGCTGGCGGAGGAAGGAAAGCATAGCGAGGGGGCGGGGCCTGCACGCCACGCCCTTCGTGGCCACCTAAGCATTCTGCCCTGCTCGGACTGGCTTGGCCTAGGCTCAGGGTCCCTACGTAGCTTCGGGGTCTGGGTGTCGCTCGTCCAGTGGCTCTGGCGTTCCAGGCCCTAGAGCCCAGTCCACCTCTCACTTTTACCTGCTGGGCCCCTGCCCCAGTTTCATGGCACAGTGCAGCTCAACGCCCCACGGCACAGTCTCTCGGGTGTACAGTGGGTAACTTCCAACCGACCCTGTGGGAGAGCCTTGCTTCTAGGGTCGTTGCTTGCGGCAAATGACAGTCGGTTAAAATGGGGTCGTATTTATTTTGCTTCTTGTTTTTCTCCCATTTAAAAGCCCCTCATATTCAGCTGGCCCTACTCTCAGGATCAGGAAGCTGTCTTAAGATACCGAAAACTCATGCCTTCAACTCTTTTTTTACCTTACAGCCCCAGACTACTAGTTTTCAACTTGAGAACATCCATTTTGGGATGGCTTTCCTCCAATTCTTGCCCCCAAACGGCAGGACTGATAACCAAAGGACAGCCAGTCAGATCAGAGGCCTGTCTACTCTTCAAAATCTGGGGCTCAAATCGCCAGAATTTGCATTTGTTCTTTTTTTTTTTCTTTTGAAATCATCGATTATGCTTAGTCACAAGGCATCAGCGAATGGCATTCTCTTGTTTAGCCTTCTTTTTTTTTTCTATAAACATACCAGAATACCGTTCAAAGTTTCTTTGCTTGGCAGTATTTTTTCTATTTGAAGTCTGTGGAAGCTACCCTTGGCAATCATGGTAACCCTGAGCATAGTCCCTGACAAATGCTGGAGTTTGGAAGGATCCCAGGTATTATATTCTTAGCTACCTAGGCCTTTGATGTGCTAACAGGCTACATGGGAGCAGGCCTCTGTGGAACAAGGGTTGCTCCTACTCTTCAGAGCCCTAATCTGGCTGCTCTTTTTATTGTTGTTGGGAGAGGGTAACAGAAGAAAGAGAAGAATAATTAAAACCAAACCATGCAGACATGTGCAGACCAGAGCAGTACTTTTCCATAGAATCCTCTTCCCTTGTTTACCAACACCACTAACATCTAAGAGATTTGGGCAGAGAATTGGCTAAATTCTGAAAAAAATTGGCAAATACTGCTTTAATCCCTGCCCCCCCCCCATCTTCTTAAAGTGTAATGAGCCAAACAATCTTTATATCCAGCCCACATGTTTTTCCCCACAGCTAAATATAGGATTAGCTGAACCGGCCCCTCCAGAGCTTTTGTCAAAACTCAACTTAATCATCACGAAACAAACTCAAACTGAGAGCACTCAGCTACAGTTAGAATCCAATTATGTCTTTTAAAAAGTACTGTGAGCAGCAAAGACATTTCTAAAAATATAAAAAAAAAATTGTGAAAATATTTTCTTTTGAAACCAATATGACAAAGTATTTTATCTTTAAGTGTTCATTTTAATTGATAAGCACTTTAATTGATAAGTCTCTTTAAGAGACTAAAGAGATGGCTGAGTGGGCAGAACCTGTTGCATGCAAGTGTGAGGACCAGATTTCCAATCCCCAGCACCCAGGAGGTTTTGGTTTGGCACTTGCCTTTAATGCCAGAGCTGGAGAGTGAGGGACAGGTTAGTTAGACTATCCTTTGCTCTATATCTAAGGAGGCAGTAATCAAGGAAGACACTACTCTTCTGGCATCCATACATACATGTGGGATAAAAAAGAAATAAAAAATCATTAGTCAAATCCTCTAGTCGAAATAAGAAAATTTAGGAAATATCAGTGGTGAAGAAGCATATAAAATGTTCAGTTTTGCTAATAATTAAAAATACTTGGAAATGACGTTGTCTCCTACCACCTTTCTATAGGGTGTAAAGAGCTGCTAAAAAAGTGGGGATACTCCCATACGTCAATGAGAGAGTAGACATTGGCGTAAGTTTTTGTTATCCGTGTTTTCTATTTATGAAACCCATTGCTAGAAATAGAATTTTTGTCCCAGTAATCCCACTTCTAGGAGGTTATCTGCTTAGAATGAAGACAAATATTTCATTAAGAAGATGTTCATGAATATTCGCATTCATTTTTAGTATGGAAACTCTGGAAACAACCCAAATGTCCAAGTTCAAATAAAGTGGCTTTGTATTGTGGTAAAATCATAGCTGGACCATTCAAAACCATAACAACATAGAAAAATATTTCCATTTCAGTGTTTTGTTTTGTTTTTTGGCTTTGAACTCACAAAGATCTACCTGCCTCTGCCTCCTGAGTGCTGGGATTAAAGTTATGGGCCACCATACCTAGCCTTTGTTTCAGTCTTAGGAGAGAAAATAGCATGCAACACTATATATAGTGTGAATTTGATGGTATAGCTGAAAAAACATAAAGGAAATGCTAAAAGGAAGCAAGATGATGTTATTCTTAATTCTTCACAAGCTGCACATGTCATCTTTCCTTCCTTCCTTCCTTCCTTCCTTCCTTCCTTCCTTCCTTCCTTCCTTCCTTTCCTCTTATTTTTGTTTGTTTTTTTTTTATACAGGATTTCTCTGTGTAGCCCTGGCTATCCTGGAACTCAATCTGTGGATCAGGCTGGCCTCAACTCAGAGAGATCTGCCTGCCTCTGCCTCCTGAGTACTGGGATTACTGGCATGCACTGCCACTGTCTGGTCGCACAAGTAATTTTAAGCGCTGGGGAAAATATTTTATTTAAAAAAATAAATAAATAAGAAAGAATGCTTATACATGTTCACTATAACAATACCTAAGTATATACAGTAAAAACAATAACAAAAATGAAACTCAGGCACACACAAATTTTATCATACTAGAAGTAATTTCAAATAGCACAATATTGGTCTATTCTTTTCTAATACAAATACTATTTTTTAGAAGAAAAAAGAGAAAGTCATTAGGTCCCCCAGACAACTCCTGCTCAAACTTTTTGAAGTTATATTTATTCAAGGTTAAATATCATGGAACAGTGTTGGTGGCATATACCTTTAATCCCAGCAGTCTTTAGGTTAGAAACAGGAGGATCTCAGTTCAAGACAAGCTATATAACAAAACTGTTAAAGTTCAAACTATGGGGAAACATAGAAGAAAATTAAATCCTCTCTCCCCACTCTTCATTCTCCTTCCTCCAAGGTAACTATTATTAAAGTTTGCATGTTTGCATGGAGGGCCAGAGATTTGCTATTCAGCTCAATGTCTTGCTGGAAGGGGAATGGATCTAATAAAGGAAGCTTTTCAATGTAAACACATTTAATTATTTTATGTGTATAAATACTCTGACCACATTTACGGATGTACACCATGTGCATGCCTAGTACCCACAGACACCAGTAGGTGGCGTTGGAAGACACCCTGGAACTGGAATTATGTGAGTCACTATGTGGGTGTTGGGAACTGAACTAAGGTCCTCCGGAAGAACAACTGCTTTTAACCTCAGAGCCATCTTTCCAGACCCAGCAAAAAAGTTTTGCTTTATGTGGAGGGTAGAAAATATGCACTCTAAAATCCTCAAGTGGTACAGTTTAAAAATACATGCTTTGATTTAATGTTAATGGTCTACTGATGAAATGAGCTACTGTGACACTAAGAATGTTCAAAAGTGTCCTAGCTTTCTGGCTTTTGTTAGAATCCATGCTGAATGGGCAGGTATTATCCAGGATGGCAGTTCTTAAGTTACCTATAAATAACCAAGAATGCTTGTTACTTAAAACCCCTCCACATAACATCAGACTTTCATTGTGCATGCCTGTGGCTGGGAAGCAATCCCTAGATCCTAGGTACTTGTCCTAAGACACAGACTAAGTCTTTGGCGATTTCAAACTGCCTCCTTTAAATAATCTTCAGTGGTTCTAAAAGGCTTTTCAAGAAAGCTAGGACTATTGGATGATCAGCTAGAAAATGTATAGGAAACAATTCAACCACAACACTAATCAAATCCAATGGAGCAGTGTACCAATTTTCCTTGTTCAAATTATTGGTACAGTCTTTTTTCTCTCCTTGGAAGTTTTAAAAGCAGAAATACTTCGAGTTTTCAGGCATAAACATGACAACAAGTATTCTGACACATGCTGGCAAGAAGGAAATTGCTCTAATACAAGATTTTGTTGTTGTTGTTATTTACTAACCTATTTCAAATCCCTAGACCATGTCTGATACACAGCAGACACTCAAATATTTATTGAACTCACTTATTTATTGAACTCAATATATTGTAACTGGGCATAGGCTTTCTATGAAGACACTCACTTCTAGAAATTTTCTTAGGGACATTTTCAGAAATATGGAAGCAGATTAATGTAGGGAAATTAGAAAGCATGATACATGATAGGAAAAACACGGAAATCACCTAAACATTCCCAAATGTTTATTTGTCTCATACTAAACCCAAACAAAGCCCTGACAGTATCCTCTAAGGCTAAGGAGAATCTTCTCTATCCCATCCACTCTTACCTTTAGAGCTTTAGGCCCTCACTTAACCACTGCCTCCCCTGATGCTTGTGCCCCTGCTGCAGTGCCTTCCTCAATAACCATTAAGCAACTAGGCATATTTTCAAGTCAGAGATCCTACTTATGATGCCTATTGCCCAGCATGTTCTTCTCAGATTCCATCACAGGTCACACCCTCCTCTTTCACCCTGGAAATATTCCGTTCCACTCCTTCTCTCTTTTCTCTAGTCACTCACTCACTCACTCATTCATTTTGGAACTGAATCTTACTATGTAGCCAAGGCTAGCCTGGAACTCATTATGTAATCCAGACTGATCTTGCATTCTTTAGCCTTCTGCTCCGGCCTCTGCAGTGCTGGAATTAGACGTGTCCTCCATCACCTCTGGCTTCTGTTTTACTTTTTTGTCATCACATTTACTGTTTCCTAATAAGTATCGTTTCTCACTTTTGTTAATTTCATTGAATTTAATATAAGTTATACAAGAACAGATATCGTGTCTA